TGAGTTTTGTGACATTCAGAGTACATATTTTGTGAAGCACATAACATATATGCTTTCCATGCACTATTTTATGGAACAAAATTGTGATAGTCATCCTGTAAGATAGGACCGTTCTGGAACTCACTTTTTTGTATACTTGGTTACTTACTATACCTGGGTTAGTCTGTGTCACTCATAGTTTATGGCAGAGGCCATGGTTATGTCTTGTCCTTCTGAGACTGTTCGTAAAAACACTGCAGCATTTGTCCTGCTTTTTCTCTTGCTCTTACTTTTCTCTTGTTCCTTGCTCTAAGGGAAGTCATCAACCATGCTGAACGCAGCCCCACAGACCTCTAAGAGAAGGCTCATATTGTGATTAGGAAAAAAAGCCTTCTGTCAACTGTCACCTGTGTGAACTTGGAACGGATATTCCAGCACCATCAAACTGCTCTTCAATTCCCAGTTCTGGCTCATCCTTTGATTGTAACTTCAAAAGCAACTCAGAGGGAAAAAGAGCCAGAATAATCAAGAAAAAATACACCTGAATGCTTGATCTTTGAGAATGGGCAAGAAGAGATGTTTATTGTTTTAATCTGTCAGATTTTATGGAGATTCATTATGCAGTAATGGAGAATCAATATAATCATGACACTTAGTGAATTTGAATTAATTTTTCAAAATAAAGAGTATGATAAAAATAATATATTAGCCCCAGTGTATATATCATAAATTTATTTTTCAACAGAACATAACTCATAATAATATTTTATCAAATAATACAGCAAAGAAATAAAGCATATAAAATTTCAAAGTGGAAATATATAAAACAACTACTCTATACGGGCTGGAGCAATAGCACAGCGGTAGGGCGTTTGCCTTACAAGCGGCCAACATGGCTGACCCGAGTTCGATTCCTTTACCCCTCTCGGAGAGCCCAGCAAGCTACCAAGAGTATCTCGCCCGCACGGCAGAGCCTGGCAAGCTACCCGTGACGTATTTGATATGCCAAACACAGTAACAACAAGTCTCATGATGGAGACGTTATTGGGCCCGCTCGAGCAAATTGATGAACAATGGGAGGACCGTGACCGTGACTCTATATCTGTAACAGTACAGGGAAAATAAAAAATTGGCCGAGGACTGAGGAAATAGCTTACAGATATATATATTTTTTGCATGCAGGGGATGTGGGTTTGAACTCTAGTATTGATTTCATGATCTCAGAGAACTGAGGCAAGAGTACCTGAGCACTGCTGAGAGTACCTCCCTGGGAACCATCAGATGTGACTCCAAAATCAAATTGGGTGAAGAAATGGTCTACTTAAGCATATTATCTCATTACAGCACCTTCAAGATAACCAACAGTTTGTAATTAAATTTAAGTATGTGGTAACTGTTTTTCCATATCAAGAAAAGAAGTTTTCCCTTGAAAGCACTATTACACACACACATACACTACATACACACAGCTCATATATGCATGTGCATATCAAAAGTATGCATATTATAAATAGCAAATTAACATATTAAATTCATATTAATATATATACTGGTACACATACATATATACACAGACATAAATATTTGTTAATTAAATGAAATTCTGACTCTAGCAATGCCAGGTAAAACACCTTTTTCTCTTGCATCAGAACTTGAATAGATGACTAGAATATGAATAGGTGTACGGTGGACAAGAGGGTGGATAGGAATACTCAATGAGGACTATATTCATTTGGATATTCTTGGGACAGCACTGACACTTATTCCTTTGCCTGAGGCTTTGTTTCCATCAGATGTAAAAATTCAATTTCTGGGAGAACAGTGACAGAAGTCAATGTATGTAGACCATCATCTAAAGTGTTTTGGAAGTCTGTTTGCTGCCACTTTTAAGGTATACACTTACATAGTTTATCACTAGTTCTCTCTTGCTTTCAAAGTAGCATTTATCTGTTCAAAAGCTAGTAATACAAGCTATGAAGATTGAATATTAGACATTAGTAAGACATTAGTGAGACAATGAAGATTAAGAAGTCAAATAGTTTCTAAAAAACATAAATGGACATTATACTACTTATCTGGAAATATCATTTATTAGAACACAGTTAAGATCTAGGAAGTAACTGCTATCAAAATATTTAAAGTGCTGAGCAAATGGTTTCATCTAGCGGTGGGTTGTCTTTTTATTCTGGTCATTATTTAATGTTGCAGAATCTTCCTAATTTGAGATACACCACTCATCTGACAAAGAGTTAATATCCAAGACATACATAAAGCTAAAGAACTTGTAAAACTTAACAACAACAACTACTACTACTATTAGAAACAAAAATACTACTAAAACTGGGGAGAAGAGATGGACAGTTCTTCAAAGAGGAAATACAGATGCCCAACAGGTTAAACAGGTTAATGAAAAGATGTTTTCTGTCATTTATCGTCAGGGAAATGCAAAATAAAAACAACAAGGTATCACCCCATATGGCACATATCAAAAAGAACAAAGACAACCAGTGCTGGTATGGGAGAAAAGGAATCCCCAACCACTGCTGGTTAGAAGCTTGACAGGTTTAACCTGTTTGGAAAATATGGACACTTCCCACAAAACTAAAATTGGCTTCTATAAGGCCAGCAATTCTACTTCTGGGCATCTACCACAAGGACCAAAAATCTCTATTCAGAAAAGACATCTGTGCTCCTATATTCATTGCAGCGCTATTCACAATAGCTCAAATCTGGAAACAGTGCAAATGTCTAAGAACTGATGATAGGATAAAGAACCCATGGGATATGTACACAAAGGAGCACTACTCAGATACAAGAAAAGATGAAATCATGCAACCCGTTGCTATGTGGATGGAACTGGAAGGCAGAGTGTTGACTAAAGTCAGTCAGAAGGACAGAGATAGATACATAATGAACTATCTCTCATATGTGGAATATAAAACCCATAAAGGGAACAACAAATGGCCAAAAGCAACAGAAGCTAAGAACAAGTATACAGAACAGAGTTTACCAGGGCCCTTGAGATGTAGAGAATGGGGTGAGAACAGTGAGGTAAGGGGAATGGGGGTGAGGAGGGGCAATGTTGGAGAGAAATAGGCACTGTAGTGGAGGATATGGTGTTTGAATATTGTATGCATACAACTCTACCACTAACAACATTGTAAAACTGTAAATCATAGTGGCTAAAATGGAATTGGAATAAAAAAAGGTGAAGAAAAGCAAACCTAGAGTATGCCTGGTCTTTTCCCTGCCTCATATCTTGCATTTATTCACAAGAAGTTAATATAAAAACCAAATGCAAATGAATGTGGTTTTTCATGTTCCTGACACCCCCCTACAGCACAGTGATTTCAATCTTCCAGGAACTAAACATAGTTAACATAGCTTATCAGAGTGCAACTTTTCTTCCAGAAGCTACCACTCTGAAAGTGATTATATGGTAGTAAATGTGATCTGTAGATAGAATTCTAGGCCTTCTGTCCTAAAGAACACTTTCTCCTTCACCTGTTATGAACTATACCCTTGCTTTTTTGCTAGTGACCACAAAGGAATATATATATATATATATATATATATATATGTATATATATGTATATATCACTTTGCAGGAATTATCCTAGTTTTCTAATAAATCATTTCAAATATAAAGCATCTGAATTCTTAGTATTTCAATAGTCATGGCATTTTTCATGCTTCCCCCCTCATCATAATAGAGGAAGTTATTAGGCACCTATACGTTAAGCATCTGAGATAGATGCTCCTGACACCCCCCTACAGCACAGTGATTTCTATGTTCCAGGAACTAAACATAGTTAACATAGCTTATCAGAGTGCAACTTTTCTTCCAGAAGCTACCATTCTGGAAAGATAGATGCTTAACATATAACTACTGTATAAGACAGACACCATTCCCCTTATTTTATGAGAAAGTTGAAGTTTGGATATGTAAAGTCACAGAACTTAAAACTCCCAAAATCTGGATATTGCCTTGGGAAATATTTGTATATTTGAAAAGCCAACAAGGACACATTTTTCTTTTCTTCTTTAAATGCAAACCAAGCAGAATCTACTTTAAAAAGAAAAGAAAATACAAGGGAATCTCTAAGAATTCCCCTTTGTGCTCTCATAATGCCAATTCTGGCATGACAGGAAGTACCCCAAAGAATAGGAATATACCAGACTGCTTAGTCCAGGGTAAAACAGATTTGCCTTGCAGCTAGAAAAATGTGTTCCTATTGAGCCTTTCCAAGATAGGTCCCTCTCAGTGACCATCTGTACAGTATGAAGAATCCTGGAGGCAGAGCACTTGATTCAATTCTGGCTGGTAATTTAGTAGCTATAACTTTTTCCCTCCCCTCACTTATCATTCTAGCTCTTGTTTTCTTCCTCTGTAAAGTAGAGGAAATGATACACACAGCCCACAGGGTGCTCTGAGATTCCACCGAGAGAAGATTTGTTCATAGTTTGCCTCATTTATCTCTTAAGTTATTTATTGCTGAGATTCCTTGCTATCACGTAAAGTCTATGATGGCAGGGATCTTGCCAGTGTATTTCACTATGGGGTTCCATGGCATGGAACATTGGCTGGCATCTAGTAAATACTCAACATAACTGCAGAATGAAATATATATTAGGAACTATTGAACTATTAAGATGATTATCATTTGTATTATGAAGAAGCTTTACGATCTTCAATATAGATTTTTTATTTTAACTTTTCATAAATATTTATATTTTTAGCCAGAAGTGAATTTAGGTAGTAAATAGTGATGATCAAATGAGAGGCTTATTCCAATTTCCTGATGTTTTCATTAAAATAATTAATAGGGTTTTTTTTCTCTAAATGATACCTGCTATTAGTGTTTAAATCACATGAAATGAAAATGGTGAGACTTCTCTTCTTGTTTCTAATTTTTATAACCTCCTAAAGAGTTTCCTGGTTTTGCTGATTATTCTGCAACTTCCAGGTTGTCTCCAGATGTGAAGAAAATTGCTTACTTGGTTGAGATGCTTGTACTTACTTGATGAAGTACTTGATTCCATCTGCTGTGTAAGCTTCCTCCCACCCGTAAGGTAGACCTGAAGTGAAAGGAAACCAAAAATACATTTAATAGGATGATAAAGATAACTGTATTTCCTGGACATAAGTTTTCCACATCTTCACAATTATTTGAGCATATTTCTTATAGAAAATAATTTTCTAGGAAATGAGACAATAAAATAATTCAGATGAGCTTTCATAATCAGCAACTTTGGGACATAATAAATAAGTCTTGAACAGTTAACAATCTGCTTTAGTTGCATTATCTGGATTATGACTTGTCATTTACATGGGGTGAGCATTTTTGTCAGCAGGATTCAAGCAAATATTTTTGGTGCAGGGGATGGCTTCCGCCTGAAGGCAGAAGGATGGACAAGACGGCCTGGGCTTTGCTATTCTGGCTCCGAGTTCCTTTAATTGGTTTTCTTTAAATTCTTTCACTCAGCTCCACAGGGATGCAGTGCATGAGTGCCACATCAGCAGGGGTTTGGAAGGAGCTTCTGGAGAAGACAAAATTCCTTATGAAGTTTGAAAGTTTAGCAAAGTGATTTACAATGAATTGTGCTATTTTATTTTGTTAATTAAGAATTTTGTGCACTAAACATAAATGGCCAGTTTGCTAAACTTAGCTTCTACTTCTGTAATGGAATTGAGAGTAGTTAGCTAGCAGTAACGAGATGTAGAGTGAAGTAAGCAAGCAATTATTTGGCCAGATTTCTGTAAGTGACTATATTTTTTCTCCTCATCACACCAAGATAGCACGCCCATTTTGGGGCAGGCAAATTCTTCTATAATTTCATTTGTGGATGGTATTCCTGTGGGACATGTGGTTCCCCCCATCCCCCCCCCCCCCCACACACACACCCCAACACACCACCCTGCCCTTGCCTCGCCTCTGTTACTCCTTCCCTGATTGCTATTAAGGATTTTAATAGATCCTTTGTATCAGTCCTTTGATGCTGGCTTCTTGGGGTTCCTTGATTTCTTTAACACACCACAGAGAAGACTACAAGGCTCAGATTAACCTTGCAGGCATCACTTTGGAAAGTAATCTGGCAACAATCACAAGTCCTTAACTTCCATTATTCCAAGTCTCACCAGTGGACTTGGAAGCCAAAATGCAGGAACAGAAAGAAAATCAACTGTACCTCGATTACCATTTGTTTCTTAGAAAATAGTCTGTAAGGTCAGCTCTGAGGATGCTGTTTCTATCACTACAAAAATTCAAAGGAGCTTTATTATATATAAATTTCTAGTCTTTCCACACAACTTGTCTAAGATTTCAGCCTAAAAAGTTAGGGCATTTGCCTTGCACGCAGCCAACATGGCCGACCCGAGTTCGAGAGAGAGCCCGGCAAGCTACCGAGAGTATCTCGCCCGCACGGCAGAGCCTGGCAAGCTCCCCGTGACGTATTCGATATGCCAGACACAGTAACAACAAAGTCTCCAATGGAGATGTTACTGGGCCCGCTCAAGCAAATCGATGAACAACGGGAGGGCCTTTACTTTTGTAGAAGAACACAGATCACCCAAGAGCTTCTTTTTTCTCTCTTAATTAGTAAATGGATCTATGTGAAGTGTTTTGTTTTGTTCCATTTTAAGGCACTTCTGGAAACTGTGCACTAACAAAGGGTGGGCATCTTCAAAGCTCATGAAGTGACACCACATTCATCTCCTCTTCTCGCCACTGCCAGCACATGCTCACCCAGATGGGTCACGATAAACTGCTGCTGCGGCTTTGGTTCAAGTAGATTTATTTTCTATCTTCACACATTCTGGGCCTTTGATACGGATCACTTCATTCATCAATGACAAGTCCCTCGCCTGCAGGGAAGAATCTGATGACTCTACAAAAAAACCACTGTATCCATGACAAAAGTGCTCAGAAACATCAGGACTTCTGATCAATGTGGCAAAGACAGTTAAAAGTCAGGTAGAAAGTCATCCTCAATGATTTATTTCCCCTGCACAATTATATCCATGCTTATAATTTCTCTCTTCGAATATATTTGATAAAAAGGAGAAGAAAAAAAATGTAGCCCTTAGGTAGAGTTAAAAATATCTATCTTCATATACATCTTTTCATCCACAGGATCACTTAAAAACAGATATTGGAACACCTGCCCTATGTCAGTGCCATCAGAACAGAATCCTGCCCTGACTAATTTCTACAATTATTCAGCAAGAATTATAATCTCACAACAGACTTATTAAAGTCTTAATTCAAATCCACTTAGTCAAAATGGCTACTCAATGACTGCAATTCTAAAGATATTATTGAATGTTATATGCTGCTTATTTTAGAACACATTCTCCATTTTGAAATAAATGTTTAAGAAAATAAAAAAATTCTTTTTGATGTACTTAATGAAATTTGCTTAAAAGATGGACTCAGTAATAAAGTTAATAGCTCAGCAAAGTAAAATTATTGCCAAAATAAGAGGAGAAAATATAATGCACTGATAAACCAAACAGCTTACGTTATGCTAAAGGAAATCAGTATTTTTGATTTTCACAAACTTATATGATTATGACGGACTATTTTTTCATTAGTAAAGATTTCATTTCTTAACAATTAGCAGTTTGGGTATAATTATAGCATTAAGTATTTTCACTAAACATTATTGTTTCAAGGTATCAATTTTTTCCATATCTCCATTTCTTTATACCTGCACATAAATATTTTTATTTCTCCTTTTCATATTTATTTAAAAACTTTAATGATAGGTTATAATCACCTGAAATTCTGATTGTGTTTGTTGAAAAACCCTTACATAAAATTCTTTCCAACAGATAGTGTTTCCAAGTTTGTCATAAGTATCTTGCCAAAGTAAGAGTTTTGTGCATACTAAATTTGAATACTGGCTGTCACAGTGCGTAGGGCGTTTGCTTTGCATGCAGCCGACCCGGGTTCAGTTTCTCCGTCCCTCTCGGAGAGCCTGGCAAGCTACCGAGAGTATCCTACCCAAACCGCAGAGCCTGGCAAGCTAACTATGACGTATTTGAAATGCAAAAAACAGTAACAACAAGTCTCACAATGCAGACGTTATCGGTGCCCGCTCGAGCAAACTGATGAACAACGGGAGGGCAGTGCTACAGGACAGTGCTACAGTGCTACCAAAGACTCACTATATTCCAAATCAAAATAATCATATTTCTATATAAAACAATTTCATCCAGTTTCCCAGTGCATTTAAATCCTGGGATCCTCTTTGTCACACTTGGACTGTTCATTAAGTATCTGCTTTGTTGAGCATTTTACTTGGTGCTTAACATAAACAGAAGAGAAAATAAACGTGAATTTTAAAGAACTTAACGAATTTTTAAAATAATCATAAGTAGACATCATTTTAGATAAAAATAAGTAATATGAAGTGAAATTGTTGATAACTATGATAGAGTAATCAGAGCACAAGCAATGATTGAACTCATTAATGCATAAAGAACCATAGATAACAGGAAAAAGATGAAGAGTCTGTGGAATATTCAGGATACAAGAAACAAAGATGCACTTAAGCATATGAAAATATGCTTAATGCACTTTTATTCATTTTTGTTTTTGGGTCACACCTGGCAACACTCAGGGGGTACTCCTGGCTCTGCACTTTTAATAAGATAAATACACATTAAACCAGTAAAAGATGTCATGTCCACTGTGTTAGCAAAGAATGAAGAGCAGTTTCATAAGGCATTGTGGTGAGAGTTTTAAGAGCACTAGACAGAAACTCAGTATCTATCTGAAGTCTTAAATGATACTAATAGGTTGGTGCTTATTGAGTTTCAAGCACTACAGATGTGCCAACTCACAAGTCTCACAACAATTCTAAGAGAGGTACTATTATTGCCGTTTTACAAATTAGAGACTGGAGTCATGGAAAGGTTAAATTACTTGCCCAGAATTTGAAAGGTGGTGAAACCCACACTTTTTTTTTTAATTTTAATTTTTATTTATTGAATCACTGTGGGAAAAGTTACAAAGTTTTCAGGTTTAAGTCTTGGTCATGCAATCATCAAACACATTTCTCTTCACCAATACTTATTTTTCACCACCAAGAACCCCAATAAACCCCCCTCTCTAACCCTCCCAATGCCTGTGAGGCAGATGAATTCTAGTTAACACTCTATCTACTTTGATTACATTGATTGTTTCGACAAAAGATGCACCACTATTATTTAGAGTTTACACCCCAAAATCAGACATGCTGAAAAGGCATTGTGAAATAATTTGTTTTCTACAGCTGGTTACAAGAACCAAATGATGCCGCACAGCCGCAATAGCGGTGGTGAGATTTTGGATTTCTGGTATTTTATTTATTAAGGCTGGAAGTATTTCTGCTGAGTCAGATACTTATGAGATTGGTTTCTGTGGCTCTGGAGCCATGGCGGTGCTGGAGAGCTGCTCGTGGGGGGCAACTCGTGACCTCGGTAGGGCGTGAAGGACGAGCGGGGAACGCCCCCCTTCCCATGAGGAAACCCACACTCTTAAATCACTTGGTTGAATTCATGTCTCAGCTAATCCAGAAATTAGTCTAGGAAGTTATTCTATAGACATGCTTCATCACGGTCCTCCCCTTGTGACATGCTTCATATATAAGATTATTAATCATAAAAACAAAAGGCTGGGAACAATATACATAGCCACCAGTGGGAGATAATTTAACGACAATGTAGCAGATAATGGACTATAATAACAAGGAAGACTCAGAGGAGAAGCTGGAGTTATCTGGACACACACACAGGAAGAACACTTTCGAAGGCTCTGGAATGGGAAACAAGGAAACACTTGGCACATAAGAGGAATGTGAGATCATTATTACTGGAGCACAGTGAATGAAGGAGTGGGAGAGTGAATAAGATTTGGCTGGGGAGAGAGGCAGATATACTATATGTGGGCCATGTTAAAACTATGTATACATTTAAAAGGAAGTAGGAGATCTACCTCTTAAGGTGTTAGGAACAGCAAAAAGAATGTTGCTTCCACCACATATAGGAAAAAGCTGCACCGTGTGTGTGTGTGTGTGTGCGTGTAGACAGATAT